ACACACTTCCTTCAACAAGGCCACATCTGCTCCAACAAGGCCACACTCCTTATGGCCGAGCCTTCAAACACATGAATCTGTGGGAGTCATTCCTATTCACCACAAGAACCAAGGTCAAAAGCCTCTACTGTATCTCATCATGTATAGAATGAAGACAAACTGTCTCATTTGGTCTTACACCTTGGTTGACCTTTGAACTCAACTTTCTGCAGGGCTCACAGCCTCCTGATCCGCTGTCCTGCTTATTATTAATGGGACCTGTGGGGGAATGTCAGGTTTTCTTCTGGCCCAATCCTGCTCTTTTCTCTACTTAGTTAAAAACATATACTTCCTTTACAGTGGAAGACATCTCTAATAAGAAAAATCCATATTTAAATGACTTTTTTAAAAAGAAAGCAATCTTTCCAGGCTACTCTTCCTTTTACCTGCTGATTTTTTTTTTTCTTCAGGGCACCCCGTGTATTGTAATTTATTAACTTGGTAGCTGACTACTAACTCTCTAGAATGTTCACTGGAGCAAAGCTTCTTTTTTTTACTATTGGATTCCAAGCACTTAGAACAGAGCCTATTGCAATCAGAGGAACCAACTAAATACAGAGTGATTAATTAGGTAAATGGATAAATAAATAAATGGCCTTCCCAAGAGAGGTTTCAAGTTCATATCTAGCCCAGTATCTTTGCCAAATAATAAAATGTTTCTCAAAGTCAACATTGAAAGGGGAGGCTATGATCACACAGGTCGCAATGTCACCCTACTCAGTGGATGGAGTCTTTCCTGATCCACTAATCACCGCTCTTCCACTGGACTACCACCAATGACTCCAACCCTCTTTACTTGAACTTAGCTTTTCTAAGAATCTGTGAAGAGGTTGCAAGGCCTTCTCAATTACTCCCACGAATAGTTAACTCACAACCCAAGCAAACATCCTCAGTCAGAAGTAAAGCTTTTTTTTGCTCTTTTTTTTCTTTTCTTTTTCTTGGTAGCTTTAGCTTGGTATCGCAGGACAATAATCTGATTTGCTCAAGTTACGATGTCCTGTTTGCTCAACTCAATTAGTAAAGGGAGGCAAAATGAGACTCTGCAGGTGACAGTAAGCTGTAGCCTGCCACATGCAAATGGGTTTTACTTGATATGGTTTACTGTTTGCATACAAAGAGTGAGGTTGCATTCTGACATTTCCTTCAAACGACTTGTTTTAGTTGTTTCTTTTCTCCTCCTCCCCTCCCCTGTTTTTCTCCTCTTTTTCCCTACCCCTCGACCCTTCTCCCTTCCTCCCCTCCCCATCTCCGTCCTTCTTCTGCCCTTCCGGTCCCCCTTCCCCTTTCTTCCCATGACCTCTTACTTTCAGTCACTCCTTTCCAATTTTGTGTCACATGTCAACTTTTACCTTCCCTTGTAGACTTTGGTAACTAAGAAAATACTACTTAAGTTTCAGAGAGATTTACCTAAAAAATACACTGTATTTTTTTGTAATTCATTGAAATTCTGTAAGTTATAAATAACATTTACTTTCTTTCTGGTACATGGGATGAAAAAAAACAAAAACAAAAACAGAAGAAACAAAAACAGAGACACACAGATAGTCATGAATTCCAGATCAGAAATTTTACAAAATCCTAGTTTGACTATCATAGCATCAAGGGAAATCATGAATGTCATCCCAACCGTCAAAGACACTGTGTGTGTGTGTGTGTGTGTGTGTGTGTGTGTGTGTGTGTGTATGGATGGGGGTATTCCACTGTAGGGCTCTTGCTTGACATGCATAAGACTCTAGGTTCAATGGAGAAAGAGAGAAAGAAAAATAGAGAGAGAGAGCATGCAAACTTATGCCACCCATGCACACACACACGCACACACACACACACACACACTCATGATTTCAGAGCTAGAGCTAAACATGGTAGTACAGGCTTATAATCCAAGCTACTTAGGAGGTTAAAGCAAGAGGATAACAAGTTACAGGTCACCCTGGGCTACCCTATCAATTCAGGACCAGCTTGGGCACCTGGGCAACTTTATGAGACACTGCTTCAAATTAAGAAAGAAAGGAAGAAGGGGCGGGGGGGGGGCGGAGGGGGTTATGGTTGTCAAAATGCCCTAATTCTATCAAATAGTACAGACTCTAGCCTAATGAGTCAAGGACAGCCTAGGTTAGAATTTCAACTCTGAGCAAGCAATGGTGGTACACCCCTTTAATACCAGCACACAGGAGGCAGAAGCAGGCAGATCTCTGAGAGTCTAAGGCTAGCCTGGTCTACCCAGTGAGTTCCAGGACAGCCAGGACTATATAAAGAAACATTATCAGAAAACAAACAATTTCATCTGTCCGCTGGCTGCTGCTGTATGACGTTAGCCATGGTCTCTAATGCTCCCAGAAAGGAATCTCAAATTTACTCATATCTTAGCTGTTGAGAGCTCTTGGTGCCTCCTCTAGGAATTTTAGCATTTGTCACTGGGTTCCGAGAAGGAAGTAGGCTCAGATAAGAATATTAGAAATAGTGACCACAGGGCTTTGTTTACTACTTTACTTAATTATTACCTTGTGTGATCCTTTTGCTTCCTATTTTGCTTGATTACTATCTTGTGCGATCTCTTTGTTTACCACTTCACTTGATTACTTTGTCTTTGATCTAAGAACTGGCCATGTGTTTTGAATGTACCAAGAATGATATAAAAGCAGACTGGAGAAAAATAAAGCTGCTTTAGCCTCAGTATGGGCTGGAGTCATGTTATAATTTTGTTTAATTGTTTTTTTCTTTTTCAGTCTTCACTTCCTCCCTTGAGATTTGGTTGACTGACTGAGCTGGCTTGGTCACTTAGAAAGCTTTAAAAATTATGCAGGTAGGGTCCTGGGGACATGGTTCAGCTGGTAAAATGCTTGTCCCACAAGGAGGACCTGAGTCGAGATTCCATATGTAATCCTGGCAATGGGAGAGTGGAGACTGTGGGTAACTAGTGTAGGCGATCACTGAGCTCAGGGTTCATTGAAAGGCCCTGCCTCAATAAATAAGGTAAATATGACGGATGATACTCAGCATCAACCTCTGGATCACACACACACACACACACACACACACACACACACCACATAATTATGCGGGATTACTATACAAATCAGTATGGGGGTTCCTCAAACCATTAAAACAGTGACACTTGACCTGTATTTGTAGCTTAAGTCTTTAATCCTAGCGCTCGCTCGAAAGGCAGAGGCAGGTGAATCTCTGTGAAGTTTGAGGCCAGCCTACCAGGGCTACAGAGAAACCCTCTCTTGAAAAACAAAAAGGAAAAAAAAAACAAAGAAAATAAAAACAAAACCTCTGTCTCAAAAACAATAACAATAAAAAACATTGAGAATAAACCTACCCTGTAATCCAGCTGCACCACTTCTGCGTATACCTGAAGGATCCTGGGGCAGCATAGTGCAGAAATATTTGCACATCCATTTGGTTGCAGCATGATAGTCAAGTGATGGAATCAGCCCAGGTGCCCATTAACAAAAAAAAAATAAAATGTCGCGCGCGCGCACACACACACACACACACACACACACACACACACACTATCCATAAGGAAAAATGTAATTAGGCCGTACATAGTGTTATACACTTGTATCTCCAGCACATGGGAGGAGGAGGCAGGAGGATCAGGAGTTCAAAGTTAACCTCAGCTACATTGGGAGTTCAAGGCCAACCTGAACTACATGAGACCCTGTCTCAAAAAGCCAGAAAAAGAAGGTAAGAATAACGAAGACAATGGAATGTGGTAAAAAAAAAAAAAACAAAACAACAATGACAACAAAGAAAACTACACAAGAACGGAAACAGAAATGATCACATTAGGTAAGACCGATCAGACTCAAAGAAAACAAGATGTGGCATGTTTTCCCTCGTGTTGACTTCAGATGTATGTATGCATGAGTATATATATATATATATATATATATATATATATATATGACACCATAACGGAAAGAAACTACTTGTACGAGGGAGGGAGGGATCGTGTGTGGCAAGACACTGTAAAAACCGAATATGAGCAGAGAACACGGTACACTCATATGAACTGTCATAATGAAACCTATTACACTGTTGGATGAATAGACTCCCATTAAAAAAAAAAAAAAAACTCCGCGTTATTTAGGTTTTAGGACTAGGGTATAGTTCGGTGGTACAGTGTGTGCTTAGCATGCTCATGGCTCTGAGTTTCACTCACATACTCGTGAGCGAGAGCACACACACACACACTTCCCAAATATTTAGGCTTTTCATTAGCATCAACAACCAAACTTTACTAGTGCAATCCCTTGCGTTTATTTCAAACCTGACTTCTGAGGCTTCAAAGCAGGAGAAAAAAACCTGAGACGCTACGGTCGATGAGCTTTGATTAACTAAGAGCTCCTACAAGCATCCAGATGATTGCAACAGTAACCCTGTCCTTAGGGAGAAAGAGAAGTCCTTTTATGAAATGCTTGAGCAGAGAATCACCAGGATAAGTAGACAGCAGACATACTGTTGGTTTCATATAGGCAACTTCCGCCTCCCAAGGTCGCTGATGACCCAGCGAGGGGGTGGTCAGTGTCCACAACTGGCCTGAACCCCCACAGCCAGGCCATTTCCCTAACTGCCCACAGCTGCACAGATCAACCTGGACCCGCATGGAATGGTGGCTGTGCACCCTACCTGGATTAGCCCGCGCTGGTGCAGGGCGCTGTGCACATAGCCGGGGACAGTCGCAGGTAGCTCCAGGGAGCCATTCCCGTTGCTCACCCGCCAGCTCCCTCTCAAGCTGTAGCTGGGACCTGCCACCACGCAGCCTGCCCCGCACAGCGCCAATAGCAAGAGCAGGTGGAGATGCATGCTGACCGCAGCAGGGAACCGGGCAGTGTCGCCCAAGCCTTGCCAAGGCCTAGCCACTCTGTCCCCGCCCCGAGCCCGGACCCGCCCCCAGGTCAGCTGAGCGCTTCCCGAAGACCTGCAAGGAGGAACTGCGGCCCGGACCCGCCACCCGGGTGCAAGCACCGCCCAGGGCCAGGGTCTTTGCGACTTGAGAGTTGGGCTCCTCCCTCCAGCTCGACCCTGTAACTGGGACGTACATCTGCATGGTGCAAAGCGACAGGAAAGTCTGAAAAGCAGATTCTGACCATTTGGGAGACCACAGGTACGCATCCACAATAGTGTGCAGGCTCTGTCCCGGGACAGCTCCGGCCACGCCTGGCCAGCAGATTGCTTGTGGTCCCAGCCCTCAGGATCTGCCAGGCTGAACGTTCTCTCCATAGGCCATCTGCTGGGACTAAACAATGCTAACTATAAACTCGTAAGGTTGCTTCAACTGTTGACTGAGAGGCGCCATGTGCTCCCTTTTAGCGGTGGCTACATGTCCTAGGCCCTGTGGAGCTGCTTCTGAGGTTCCTCCTGAAGCTGCATTAGAGCTACGGGTGAGTCTGAACTCCCCCATTTCACTGTTGTAGGATTGAGCAAGCAACAGAATTCCCATTCCCTGAATTTAAAAGAATGCAGACACTTATTTCGGAGACGGAGATGCAGGCTAGGTTCTTCATCTTCTTTTAAATAAACAAAACACCCCACATTTATTTACTTACTAATTTCATGGCGGGATTGGAGGGGGTTCCTGCCACAGCGAGCGTGTGGAAGTCAGCGGACAGCCTGTAAGGAAATTACTGGGGTTCTCATCTGCCACCAAGTGGATCCCAGGGCTAGAATTTAGGATGTCAGGCTTAGAGACATTCTCCCTTAACTGCTGGAGCATCTCATCGGCCCCTGGGTTCTCCTCAGAGACCTCCACCCAGGAGAGGCCAGGATCTTATGGCCATAGAGAAAGAATTTCCGAACCAGTCAGTATGAAGCAAAACTGGTAAATTATCAAGAACTATCTTCTACAGCTTAAGCAACGACATTGAGAGACGCTTAAGAAAGGAAAGCAGTACCCAGCTGACAAAGTTCAGTTGCTCAAGTCAGAAGAGCAAGCATAGGGTTTGAGGTTGGTGTTTTCTGTGCATTTGAAGTTACACTGTTTAAAAGAACAGTTAAAGCTAGAGATTGACATCACTAATCTGAAGAAATTCCTTGTTTCGCTGTCTGAAGAGACCCCACAAAATTGCAAAGGACTTTATTGGACTTGATTTACTCTTTTACAACAGAAAGGGCTGTGTACAGCTCTTGACTGTGTACAACCCTTAAAGAAGAATGTTGCCTTTACATAGGCAAGACAGGGATGGTTAAAGAGAGCATGAAAAAGGTCAGAGAAGGCCCTGAGAAAAGACGGAGAGAGAAAGAGAAAGATGAGTGCTGGTTCAAGAATTGGTTTTCAGCCTCTCCATGGTTGTCAACCCTACTTCCTCCCATCTTGGGACCATTAATTGGGTTATTTTTGTTTATTTCTTCTGGTCCCTGGGCCTTAAATAGGCTGACTAACTTTGTGAAACAACAGATAAATAATTTGGTAGCAAAACCTATTCAGATACATTATCATAAGTTAGCTATGGAGGACCACGAGACTCAAGATGAGGTTGTTATTCTATCCAGGGTGTTCCCAAAAACCCATCTCCACCCAACCTAAAAGGGGGGTCTTCTGCCCCTAGACCAAGCAGAGAGGGGCCACCCAGAACCCCCTCTGACTGGCGATCTGAATTCTTGCTTAGGCTTCGAGGCTAAGTACTGCAAGGGAATATAAATAAAACTTAAAAATATCTCTCTGGGTTCCCTGAGGGACAAGCCTGACTGCATAGGGGTTGATGTCAAAAGTATCCCCTCTCCAGGAAAAAGACATCGGGATGGGTATGGCCCTCATGCCTCACTGGACAACGACAGGGGGACTGGAGCCATTACAAGGTCACCTTCAATTACTGGAGGTCAGGCCTCTATCCCCGCCTTCACAAGATTAGAATCGCCACAGCCCTTCTATACTTAGAGAAGGGAGGAGATGTCAGGAGCATCCCTGCTTACACACTGAAGGCCTAAAATCAGTCTTAGGCCTAAAATCAGCAATAGGCCTGTCATATATGTATACTAACACCAAGTCTTGGGTCTCTGTGGAAAAACACTGAAACAGATGGCTATAAGCTATTGTAAACAGGTAACTTTTGTAGAAATTTACCAGCCTGAGTAGTCATAGACCTTGTAAATAGGTAGCCTTGGCAGATAATACCAACTTAGATAAGGACAAGCGAGTCACAAGCAGAGTCATAACGACCTGTCCCCTGAACCTTCACCCAGCAGATACCCTATTCTGAAAGATATCTGTATTCACCCTGAACACCCGCGCTCCAGCGTCATCCCCTTCCCCACGTCCTGCCTTTTAGTGTTTATAACCCCTGTGTGAATAAGAAAAATTACAATTTGAAAAATAAATATAAATAAATAAATAAATATAAATAAATAAAAGAACAGTTAAAGGAGGTGCAGGTAGCAGCTCATATCTGTAAGCCAACAACCACTAAGTCTAAACAAATTGTGGTGACTGGTTATAACCTAGAATCTCAGCACTTGGGAGACCGAGGGAAGAGCACATCCTTGTCTACATAGAGATCTTAAGGCAAGCCTGTGCTATGAGGACTGTTTCCAAAAAGTAAGAATGGTTAGACTAGAGAGTTGACTCATTGGTTAAGAGATTTTGGGTTTTTTGTTTGTTTATTTATTTTGTTATCTTCTGTTTTGTGTTTTTGTTTTGTTGGCAGACCTGCGACTTTATTTGACATTCCGAAGGTTAGTTCTCCTCCACAGTGACAGTTTGTAGATTTTTGAATGTGGCAACAGGCAGGTAGGATACCAATTTCAGGGCTCATTCAGTGAGTCCTCACCTCCATTCCATTTTCTGGACAAAGGTACACGGATACATTATGGAACATTGCACCTGGCATCAATGCAAACGTCCGGAGTCCCCATCTCCTTCAGCGCCTGGCATCAATGCCAGCATCCAGAGTCCCCATCTCCTTCATGGCAAATTTCCCAAGAGACATGCTTCTTGAAGCCCTCTTCGTGGATGTGCTTGAGAATGTTAAGTGTGTTCTCTAGTCACCACTTCATTTATGGCAGAATGGCTCTTCTCGCCACTTTTCTTTGTGGAAACCATTTCACAGGGCCAAGTTCAAGAACACTTGTTCTTGCAGAGACTTGGGTTCAATTCCCAGCACCTACTTTGTGGCTCACAACCATCTGTGCTTCATTCTACCCAGTCCCAGGGAATCCAAGGTCCTCTTCAGACCTCTGATGGCATGAGACATGCATGTAATATACATACATACATAGATGTGAGAAATAAATGCACATTAAATAATAAAATAAACATTTTAAACATTTAAAGTAATAATATCAAGAAAGATTAAGTCTATAGGTTTAGGTGGGGAATTCTCCAATAGAATTTCTCATGGAGATTGGCACTATAAGACAGCCTGGTGCCTCATTCCCAGCCAGAGGCTGCAAATGTGGAAATTCTAAACCCATCAATAAGGAGGGAAAGGAGACAGACAGACAGACAGACAGACAGACAGACACACACACACACACACACACAAAGAGATAGAGATAGGGAGGGAGGGAGAGGAAGGGAGGGAGGGAGGGAGGGAGAGAGGGAGAGAGAGAGAGAGAGAGAGAGAGAGAGAGAGAGAGAGAGAGAGAG